GCAAAAACCAGAAGTTGGGAGTGTGAGTTGTCGCCTGGGCTGCTTCTGTTTTCAAATTTCAAAATTGGCGCTCGCAGCTTTTCGGCGACGACTTTCTTGTTTTCAGAATTTCTTCCGACAGCTTTCTCGGTTTCAGAATTTATTCAGGCTGCTTTCTTGTTTTCGCAATTTCTGCCGACAGCTTTCTTGTTGTCAGACTTTCTTCCGACAGCTTTCTTGTTTTCAGAATTCCTTGTGCTTGTAACTTACAAAAACCAGAAATTGGGAGTGTGAGTTGTCGCCTGGCGCCGTTTCTGTTTGCAAAACTGGCGCTCGCATCTTTGCTGTTTTCAGAAGTTGCGCTCGCAGCTTCTGTTTGCAAAATTTGGCGATCTCCATTATTTTGTCAACGAGAATCGGATGCATGAGGTATCAACACTTAAACGGGATAGGAAATTAAAACATCACCACGAAGAAACGACACAGGACGGAGCGAAAACTTACGGAACCACGCGAAAACATATCAAACTAGAAACGAGTAAACGACGCGAGAAACATAACCATCGGAAGAAAACAGCTTGCGCCCTCCTCCTCCGCCTCCTCATCTCAGGGCCACGTCAAAATCATAAACAACGAACTGAAAAGCGATAGCTTGCGACGGCGATGGCGATGGAGAAAGGGGGGCGAAATCTCTGCGCCTCACGTTCGCAAGCGCGCCCCGTCAACGCTGACAACCTTCGGGCCCAGCTCGTCCCAAGCCTTCCGTGCGGAGATGGCCCAGTCCACCGCGTCCAAGGGCGCGCCAAAGGAAAAGCCGCCAGAGGCAGGCTCACCGCCAGCTTCCACGACGATATTGCTTCCAGGCGCTTGGGCGATTCGCAGCAATGCGCCGCGCGCGGGTAGGCGCGCCACGTGCAGCCTCTCCTCAACGCGGAGTTTGGCCTTCCGCTCGCATGCCCTAGCATGTCTGAGATATTGGCTGGGCACTCGACGACCTGGGGCGTAACTAGCAGCAACCAGTTGAACGCTGGCGACGACGTCCAAACCAAGCGCCACGATGTACAGGAACGATGCTGCCAGGTCCGCGTCAGCTGCCAGCGACGCAGAGTCGTGGATAATTGCGAGAACCCTGACAACAACCAAAGATGCCAGCGCACATCTGCGTGCCCCCTTCACTTCTCAGGAGCCCCGCAGTCGCATCTCCCCAATCGCGCCAGAGGCAGCGGGCACCGCCACCTGGCTGCGCGGCGATGGACCCTCGGGCGCCAAGCGAGCGCCCCGAGAGGCGGCGAGATCAACGCCCGGGGGCTTGAGAAAAACGACGCCTGGCGCCGCCCGAACCTGCGTGACGCCAGTGATGTTGCGCACGGATCGGCCATGAAACTTCTGCAAGTCGCCACTCCAGCGGATGCTCCGATCCGTGCCCGCGCCAGGATGTAGCGCTGCACTGGCAGCGCGCGCGCTTGCACTGCGCGGCCAGGCGAGCAGCAGCGAGAACGCCAACAGTGGCGCGGCGCAGGACGCCTCTGGCAGCAGCAATCTTCAGACTGGCCGCGCGCGTGGCCGCGGGGTTGTCGTGGCCAGAGCGCGCGCCGTGGAGCTGCCGCCAGTGGCAGGCGCACTTTCCAGAGAAGGACGCGAGCTTTTCCCTGGGCGACATAATTAGCACCAGCGAACCCTCGAACTCAGCGGCGGTTCGCGGACCGAGAAGTTTCGCGACGAGGGAACCGTCGAGGAAGTCTAAGTTTGACGTGCGATGTTCCACCATCTCGCTCCGAAGGAACGCGAAATCGCGCTCGACTGCGCACTCGCCCCCCCCCCCCCCCCTGGAAATATAAAACCGGATGAGCTTGCGGAGGGCGCGAGAACCGCCGACCAAACGCTTCGGACACGCAGCGTGCCAGAAGGCGTCGTCCAGCAAACACGCCCACGCTTCCTGGTTGGTCTTCTCCGATAGCGGCTTGCCTGCAGAGAAGTGCTGCAGCATGAGTGGGAGGGCGTCCTGGCACTGCTGCGCGGCCGCCACCTCGTCGCAACCGAGCGCCGCGGCTGCCTGCCTCACGCCTCGGAGAATGGACTTGCGCGTCTTCAGACAAGGCAGGTCCCCGAACCGCCCCCGAACGAGGCGGCGATCGAACGTGGGCAATGCCGAGCGGAGGTCATTTTGAGGAAAATCAGCAAGAAGCCGATTTCTTGTCAAAATCGCCGCATTCTGCAATCTCTCGAGCAACTCTTCCTTGCGTGCTTCACGAGGCAACGCTGGATTACCACCGGCCAAGAAAATATACTTGCGCCGAAGCTTTGACATCACGGTGGTCGCGATGAAGCCGGGCGCCTCGCCGCGCGCGCCCACGCATGGCAGCGGTTCGGCGCTGGCGGCGGCGGCGCCAGCGGCAGCCTGCATGGCGGCGGCGCCAGGGGCAGCCAGCCTGATGCTTTGAAACGCACGACCTTCCTTGAAGACAGCGTCAAGCGTCTCCACCATGCAATCGATCTGCAGACGCGATGCCGCGATGTCGTGGTTGGCAACATCGAATAAGCGCAAAACCAATTGCAAAAAATGCCCCAATCCGCGGACACGCCGACAGCCATGCAAAACTTAGTGTCCAGCTTTTTCAGCAAAGTCGCGGCTCGCTCACGCTGCTCGCTGTCGTGACGTTTGTCAGACGCGATGTAAGCAAGCAAAGTCGCCACTGGCAACAACATCAGCGCAATCTCCCCGACTGGCCCCGCCGTGGAATCGAACCGTTGCTTGGCGAACGATAGACTCCGCACGGCAGCTCGCAAGGGCTTGCGACCAAGACCAGCTTCCGCCAGAGGCAGGATGTTGTCCTCTTGAATGGCCAAGAATAGGTTGTGCCACTTGTCGCTGTTCATTATGTCTGGCGCCAGGGCGTGTCGGTTACCGAACAGCTCGCGCCGCGCCTCGCCAAACACGTCGTCGCAATTCAAGGATTGGCTCGCGAGACGCACGGCATGCGCAGGGCCTCGTATCGCTATCAGGAGGTTTGGGAAGAGTTCCCGAGCAGCGAGAAACACTGCTCGCCGCTCCTTCGCGGCACCATCTGCTGCAATCCTGGTGGCGGTCTCCAGAACATGCGACTTGAGCGACTCATCGCACGCCAGAGGCAATGTTTTTCTTCGGCCGCGCCCCGTTGCGGCGCGGTCCTCCTCGAACTCCGCTGCGCGGCTCTTCCTGCAATCGAGGGCACCGAGCGCGCCAGAGCGGCAATGGCCTGAAGCCCTGACGCCGCCACCGGGGGCAGGCACGTCAGCGCGACGTCGAACAATATTGCGGCACTTCGACTCGTCCAGGGACAAGGATACCGACGTGGCGTTACGAAGCACCTCGCGGGTTTCAACGCGGAGTACCTCCGCCATCGCGCAGAGCTGCTTGCGCCTGCGTTTCCGAATTCTGTTCTCCGTCGGGTCGTCTACGCAGAAACTGCTTCCGCCGCACGCGAGCGCACTTGCGAAGACGTCTCAGAGAGCATCGCCCACGCATCCCTCCATTCCGCGGCCGATGGTACACTTCCACGCAGAAGCGCAGCGTCTCCCGCCGCCACTTCTCCCGTTTTTCCCGATGAAGAAGAGTCTTCGCACGCCAGGGGCAGCGAAGACTCTTCGCGCGCCAGAGGCAGTGGCTTGGGCGAGAATTCTGCACAAAATCTCTCAACCTGTTTCTCTCCCGCTGCGCGTCGATGCGCTGCTGACCTCTGACGCTGTTCCACTTGGAATCTGGCGTGGAAGCCTCTCAAAGGGCGCGCCCGGAAGGAAGCAACTTTGGAGAACCTTCCGCCAGGGCTTGCGCGCCCTGCGGCCGCAGCCTTCGCGCAGACTCGGCAACCCAAACCCCGCTGGCCGCGACGCTCACCTGCTGCCGGCCACGACGAACCATTTGGCAGGAGAGGTAGCGCCGAGCACGTCTTGCGACGTCGGTGAAAATCGCATCTGATACAGAACGCCTTCGCGCAAAGAGAACGCTTGGCGAAGCGCCCCGCGTCGGAGCGGGCCCCTGAGGACGGGCGCGAGAGCCAGATTTTGCCGCCAGGAGCTCTTTCCCAACTCTTTCTCGCCTCGGTCACAATCCGCGCGGCGCCCTCGCGGGACTGAACCGCCCGCCCTGCGCTTCCCCCGCCCCTTTCCAGGGCGCGCCAGAGGAAGCGACGCTGCTTTTCCTTTTTCCAAGATGCGCCAGAGGCGCCAAAACCCTCGCCAGAGGCAGAGATTTCATCTTGGCACAGGACGCTCCGACCCTCGCCAGAGGCAGAGATTTCTTCTTGGCACAGGGCGCGCCGACCCTCGCCAGAGGCAGAGATTTCTTCTTGGCACAGGGCGCTCCGCTGCGGGTTTGTCCGCCATGTCTCCGCGACTGCAACGACTGCCCCACGCTCGCTGCTGCCGACTTCTTCTTGAGACACTCCCCGAATCGAAAGTAAAGTGGCACTGGCCACTTCGCTGGTGCCAAAACGGCCGTGGAACAACGGCGGGCTCGACCAGATGAAAACTAAGCGCGACCACGAAACATCCAAACCAAAAATTACTCCGACGGAAGGACCCCACATGATAATATGTTTAGCTTTCCCTTATCCCTTTCCTCCCGGCCATGGCAAACACCCTCGTATCGCCCTCTCCTCTGCCATCTTTTCCTCTTCTTCTATTTCCCCCCCCCTCCTTCTCCTCCTCCTCCTCCTCCTCCTCCTCTCCACCTCCTCCTCATCATCGCCCTCCCCATGCCCCTTCCGTCCTCATCCTCCTCCTGCCTCTTTTCCACGTGCACGTCCCTTTCCCCCCGGTCGGGGGAAGCAAGTCGATTTTCCTCGGCGCCGTCGCCGCCTCGGTCAGAACGCGCGCGTTTGCCGACGGCCAGATCGCGAAGCCGTCGGGTCAACCCTTCGGGCCAGCCATGCCTGCGGGGCACTCCCGCGGGCCGCCGGAGCGCGAGGGCAGGCCGTCGGGACAACCCCGCGGGCCAGGCCGTTGGGACAACCCCGCGGGCCTCCTCGCGCGCGCCGCGGCGCTCAGGCGGGCGGCAGCACGAAGCCCAGCTCTGCCGCGAGCTGCTCCGCTTCAGCCCTGGAGTCCACCGCTCTCTCGTCGAACTCCTGGAGCGCCTTCCGCAGTGACGCCGGCGGCCCGCGCTCCAGGAACTCTCGCGCGGGCGGCCGCAGGATCAGCATGTTCCGCATGCACGTGGCGCGGGAGAACATGACGTAGAGGTGCAGCCACCACATATCGTCCGACATGCCCGTGCGGCCAGCGTCCTCATCCCTGGGGCAGTCGATGGTGACGCCCTTGCGCAGCGTCTGGCCCTGCGACAGCGTGGAGGTCAGGTAGCACGCGTGCGTCAGCGTGAATCCCGAGCGGCGCACAGTGTGCGCCCCCGAGCTCTGCCACGTGAACTCCTGCTCGCTGGGCCTGAACATGAGCAAGCTCCTCGCCCGCGCCTGGGCCTCGCCGTCGTCGTCAGCGCCCTCGGTGCCCTGCAGCAGCACCTCGGCGACCTCCTTGTAGATCGGGGACTCCTGGAAGCCGTGCACATGCAGCCAGATTCCCTGCGGTAGGAAGCGGGGGCGGAAGAGCTGGCCCGGCGCGCACTCCTCGTAGTCCCGCTCGTCGTCTGCGTGAAACTCGAAGGACACGATGGTGGCCCGTTGCTCCTGCACGAGCCCCAACTTCTTCTTCAGCTCCTCCTGCACGGCCGTGAACCGGACCTCCATGCCGACGTGTGCCGGTAAGACGCCGTGGATGTCCCCCGTCTTGTGCATGTTCGGGACGTTCAGGAGGCGCCGGCCTGCGTCTGGTTCGCCTTGAATCGTGCCGCACTCGTCTACGGCCTGCAGGAAAACGAGGGGGACGCCGAGGCGCCGCGCGTCGCGACGAGCGCGCGTGTTGATCCACCTCGCCAGCGTCTCCCAGTAGATGCCCATGCCGTAGCCGAGCCGAAAGTTCTCGTGCTGGTGCCGAGGGTCCAGGACGCCGTGGTTGTCAGAGGCCAACGTCTTCTCCCAGGCAGACCAGACCTCTGGTGGGAAGCGCTTGCCCTCGCGCATGTAGCCCAAGAACGCGATCAGAGGGTCCCCCGGCTCGAAGCGCTTCGTGCCCTTCAGCTCGAAGACGCAGGGGATCTGAGAGAATACCCTGATGGCGTGCTGGATCTCCACCGTCGGCGGCTCCGCGTACTTGTACGACCCGTCGTCCAGGAGCTCGTTCACGTCCGTCAGGAGCCCGATGCTGCCGGTGGGCTTCAGCTGCAGGAAATCCCCGAGGTGCAACACGATGGGGACGCGGCCGAAGTGGTGGTGCGGCCTCTTGTAGGTGGACTCCTGCACGTCGTGCGTGTCACTGCGCCCGTGGCAGGCGCGGAGGTCCAGAGCGTTGTACAGAGCAGCTGCCACCATGCTCACCTCCTCGATGACCAGGACGCGGACGTGCTCCCACAACCACTGCAATCTCTTCTGCATGCTCCCCGGTCTCATCTTCGCGTTGATGTACTTCTGGACTCGCAGGGCACAGGCGTTGTGCAGCGTTCTGGCCTTCACCGTCTCCGTGGAGATGTTCTTCGCCTGCGCGTTCGAGAAGGCCACGACCATCATGGCGCCCTTGTCCTGCGCCGACGAGGGCCACAAATACTCCACCACTGGGAAGACGATCTTCTGCACCACGTGCGTCTTCCCCGAGCCGCCCTGGCCCAACAGGAGCAAGTGCGTCACTTTTCTCTCGCTCCAGGGCTTCTTCTGCACGTCGTCCTCCCAGGCGTCGTCGCAGGCCTTGGCGAACTTGGCGACGAAGAGCGTCTGGTCCCGCGTGAGTCTCTCGTTCTCCGGCAACCCAGCGACCAGGGCGGCGATGTACGCGCTGGGCGTTGAGTACACGCTGCTGGCAAAACTGGCCGCAGCGGGGTCGCCGCCCAGGCCGCCTGCGCCCGCGTCCTCGCCGTCCGGAGCGCCTGCATCTTCCTCGTCGCGATTGTCCTGGAGGCGTTCGTCGTGCAGGTTTCCCCAGGCGTGTCTCTCCTCGCGCGCCGCGGTCACCGGCGGTCGGTGCCCGGCCGCGGGCGCGGGAGCAGTCGCGGCCTCCGTCGGCTCGGGCGCACCCGCGCCCTCGCGGGCCGCCTCGGACATGCACGGGAGCGCGAGGAGCTCCTTGGCCAACCTCGTGAGGCGCTTACGGTGCGCGAAGTTCAGCACGTCCGCCATGTCCTGCTCCCCGTCGATGCCCCACGTCGGGACCGGCTGGAAGTGTGCTCCGACACGCTTGGGAGGCGCGCCCGGGTGCTCCACGCCCTCGCCCGCCTCGGCGCCCTCGTCCTGACCGGCACCTCCACCGGTGGTCGCCTTGAGGTACGCGCTCTGCACTGCTGCGTCGCTCTGGTACTGCCGGGGTTTCTTCTCCTCGCGCGCCAGGGCGATTCCCTCGAGGTTGGGCGCCACCTGCATGGCTATCATGGAGACGTACTGGTGCACCGTCGCCCTGGGTTTCTCTCTGTCGGGGCAGTGGGCGGGGTCCAGCGAGTCGCCCTCCGCGTCCTTACCCTCCGCTCGCGCCTGGTGCAGCGCGAAGAATTCCTCCTGCACCTCCTGTGTCTCCCAGATCGAGGGCCACTCGTGCCGCGCGAGGAAGCGGGCCGCGGCGACGCGGGCCTCCGCGTCCGCCTGAGCCTCGTAGTGCGCCCAAGATCGCGTGAAACAGGTTGACCCGCGCACATTCATGTCACGGGGCGCGCCGGGGGCCTCCATCAGGGGCGCGAACGCCCGCAGCATGCGCTCGTCCTCCGGCGTCTCCGAGTTCTCCACCTCCAACGGCCTCAGGAGCAACTGCTTGTACAAGCATGCTGTCTCGCAGTCTTTGTTCATCGTCGGCATGGTGAAGCCCTCGAAGAGGGGCACGCGGAGCTCGGGGGCCAGGCGCTGCTTGTGGGTCGCGTACAGCGCGTAGTGCGGCGCGAAGTCGAAGTCCAGGTGCTGCGCGCGGGTCTTGTCTCGCCACAGGCCGTCGGGCTTCTCGCAGCGGTAGACCCACATGGCGTACACCTGCAAACTCATGTGCTTGAGGACCGGGTCGTCGCCGCGGTGCAGCCAGTCGTCCAGAGTGCTCGTGGTCCTCACGATGCGGAAGCCGTCCCCCGTCTTCGGGGCCTCCTCGCTCTCGCAGCCCATGTCCTGCATGAACTTCGCCAGGAACGACACCACCTGGCGATGATCGGGCGCGTCGCGCGCCGCCTTGGTCGCGACGTCGTGCTCGTAGGGCGTCAGGATATCCGGGAAGCGCTGGCCTTCCGGGCTCATGTACACCGCCTGCCCGTCGTCGTCCTTTTCCTCGCGCCACCCCTCGAGAGTGTACGGGTCGACGCCGCGCCCGAGGTACTGCACCGGGGCGCGGCCCCCGTCCTGCTTGGCCTTGTGCCGGAGAGAGCGCCCGTACTCGCGTCGCCACGCCTCCGCCGCCAGGAAGACGCCCTTCTTGATGAAGATCGTCCAGCAGCGGTGGGGCGCGTAGGTGAGGTGGCCGTAGAAGATCGGGAACAGCATCTCTGGCCCGCTCTTCCAGTAGCATCGGCGGTACGATGCGGACAGATTCTTCACCAGATCCAGCGTCTCCCCGAACTTGGACTTACCCCCGAGCGCTCTCCGGTCGGCGGCGGACAGAGTCTTCTCGGGGTCGTCTCCTCGCTGCTGCAGCTCCAGCTTCATCTTGTCCTGCTGCGCCTGTCGCTGCGCCTGCAGCCGCTCCAGGCCGCGCCGCATCTCCACGAGGACGCCCTCCATGCTGGGGCACTGCTTCGTCGTGTAGGAGTTGATGTAGAAGCCCGTGTTCAGGCCGTCGCTGAACGCTGCCTGGGCATCCAGTTCCAGCTGGTCCGCGAAGGTGTCCGCGGCGTCCACGTCATCCGCGTCCTCGCCCTCCGCGTCCTCCGTCTGGCACTGCAGCATAATGTCGCGCCACTCCTCCGGCGAGCAGTCGTCCGTCCACGCGAGCGGCTTCTCCGGAACCTCCGGGCGGTTGACGTAAGCGTCGGCATCGCCCAGCTCGTACGTGCCCATGTACCCCAGCTTGGGTTGCGAGCCGACGTGCGGGAGCACCTCGCCCTCGTCCAACCACGCTTTGGGGTCGCTGACTCGTCGGAGGTCCTGCGCATCCAGGTTGAAGCGTCCAGCCGCGGCGCCGGCGTAGTTGGTAATGCACTCAGACGGGTGGAGCTGGAAGTGCAACAGACGACCCTGCATGCCGTGCGTCGAGGATCGCACCACGAACATGGCGTTCCGCAGAGGCTTCCCTCGCCTGCGCCTGCGCCAATCCGCAAGCGTGACGATGTAGTAGAAGCCGTGGCGGCAGATCTTCGTGGTCTTGTTGCCCGAGTACTTGTAGCAGCTCTCTCCGCACACGTGCGTCATCGTCTCCTTGGCGAGCTCCCGGACGTCCCTCGAGAAGAGGCGCTCCCAGACCTCACGATTCTCTTCCGTTCCTGGCGGGGGCGGCGGCGGGGGCGGCGCCTCCTCGTCCGCGGCGAGTGTCGTCTGGCCGAGTCCTTGCTGCCCCGACTGAGCCGCGGGCGCGTCCGAGCAGACCGTTGGGACAACCCCGCGGGCCGCCGGCTCGCCCGCGCCGGTGTCTTGCTGCACGAGGCCGCGCCGCCGGTACGCGGGGCATTTCCCCACGGCGAAAGCATCGATGGGCATGCCGTATGAGGACGGCCGCGGCGGTGCCTTCTCCCCCGGCGCCAACTCGCGGCCTGTGGCGTCCCGCAACGGCAGATCGGGCCGGAGCCAGGAGTCCCGGTCCTCGGTCTCCAGGAAGGTCTCCTGGTCCTCGGTCAGCTCCGCGCCCGCCTGCTTCTCTTCGCGGAGCGCGTCCAGCTCGCTGCCCCCGTCGAAGCGCGACTGGTCTCGTTCGATGACAGAGAATGGCAGCGGGTCCACGCGCTGGTCGACGTGCCCGAAACGCCGCGGCAACACCTCTACGGAACTCTGGCAGGTGCTCTCCACGGCCATGACGCACGCCCTCATCCACTTGCCCAGGCGCTCTCGGAAAGCGGCAGGATGGCGTCGGAGCACGTGCACGAGCTGCCGCGTCGAGAGGGCGCACAACCACACCAGGATGTGCGGATGGAGCGATCCCCGACCTTGCGCCTCGATCTCTCCGCGGAAAGCTTGCACGGGCCCAAAGATCCCCGGGGCGGTCGAGGACGCCGCCACGCCGTCGGTGCACCAGTCCCAGGAGCAGCGTTTCCTGGGAGGAACGCCGCGCCGGCGGCCGCCCACGCACTCGGGGCGGACGCCGAGGACGTGGATGAAGAAGAGGCGCATGATGAGCTCGAAGCACACGGTCTGGCCGACCGGGTCCTGGGCGACGCGCCGCATCATGTCTCGGTACTTTGGGATGACGTCGCTGCGCAGGCCTGGAATGCTCCGGTCGTCGAGCGGGATCTCCTGGCCCTCCACCCTGACGAACAGTGGCTGCTTCGTGTCCGCTACGTTCGGGGTGGCGAAGATCAAGGGGCACCCGAAGAGCGCCATGTAGGCAACCCCCTCGTGGCGGCAGAGGCGCCGATGTCCGTCGGTGCCGACAACGTCCGCGACGGCCATCTGCATGATGTTCAGGGCGTCCCGAACCACGTTGGGCACGTTGGCGTTGCTTGCCAAAGCCGCCACGCCGCCGCCACCCGCGTGAGCGCGGGCGGCCGCCGCCAGGGCATCCGGCGTGAGGTGCTGCACTTTCTCGGCCCACTTCATGCCTCCGTTCTTCAGGAAGGCGAAGGCGGACTGGTGGCGCTCCGTCAAGAAGTGCAACGTGGCGAACATGTGCAACGACACCCAGTCCGCCGCGAACCGGTTGACCTCTGGATCGTCGTCGTTCTCCCGCACGCGGTACGGCTTCTCCTCGTCGGTGTCCAGAGTGTACTCCATCTCCTCCCGCATGCACAGGCACGTGATCCACTCGTGGGCGAGCAACTGCGGGTAGGTCCCCGTTCGTTTCGGGTCCAGGTGACCGGCGTCGCCGTAGCGCCACAGGCTCGGGCGCGCCTGCGTCCACACCTTCCAATCGAACAGCGACAGGGGCGCCGTGCCGCGCGTCACCTCGAGGTTCGCCATGGTCGCCTCGGCCCCCCCCGCCTGTCGAGGCCTGACCGGTTCGCCCAGCGCGGCGCGCGCGAGGTCCTCCTGCAGCCGCAGCTCCCGCTCCGGGCGCGACAACCGAGCAGCGCGGTTTCGAACGGACTCGCAGAGCTGCAAGACTCGCTCCCTGCCCGCCTCGTCCAGCAGCGCGCTGCCTGACTCGATGGCGTGCTCTGTCTCCTTGGCCACGGAGCGCTGCGCTGTCGCGTCCAGCTCCTCCAGCTGCTTGATCAGCGCCGTCACCTCCAAGGCCCCCGCCGAGGCGGCCGCGCCCGGGATGTCCTCCTCGCTGAACGCGCTCACGTACCGGGATTCCTTGCACGCCTGAACGTCTGCGTCTTCCATATCCTGCGCCCCGGCCGCCGTGGCGTCGGCTGGTCCCGCGGCCACGACGGCGCCGGGCGAATCCTCCAACGGCACGGCCACGACGCTGTCCAACACCACCGGGGGCACCTCAGGAATCAGCGGGTTGGGGCACCACTGGGCAACCAGCGCCTCGTCGTAATCCTTGTCTTTGTAGACGACGTTCGTGGACTGCAGCGCTTGCGCCTGCGAGTCAAACTCTGCGCGGTTCACCTTGAGGCGCGCGATGCCCCGGACGGCGCGCCGGGCGGCGTCCTGCTGCCTGGCGGCGTCGCCAGCCAGACCCTCGCGGCGCCACTGTCCCGCTGCATTCTCCGAGCCGTCTGGCGGCTGCTCTTTCGCCGCGTCCTGCTTGGCTGCCAGGAAAGTCACCGCGAAGGCGTCCTTGATGGAAGCCGGAGGGAAACGCTCCATGGCCTCCTTGCACGACGCGTTCCCGAAGAGGATTGCGGAGCCCACCATGCCCGTCTGGTGGAAGAGGAAGTCCCACGTGGGCCCGTCGCCGCTGCGCTGCTTGTCGTAGCTCTCGGGGCGCAGCACCACCTTGGTCGTCACGACGCGGGCGAGTGCGAGGAGCATCTGGTGCGACAAGTTGGCATTGCGGAAGAGCGGGTCATTCCTGCCGAGCCACAAGTGGTTAGCGAAGGTGAACTTGCACATGCGCGGGTGGCGGGGAGAGAACGCGTACAGGCAATCCTCGCACACCGGGGCCCGCTCGTCGCCCAACGCCTGCGCATCCGTCACCCGCCGCTTGTGCATGAGGACAAGTTGGAATGTGTCCGTGTTCCCAATGCGCAGACGCACGGCGGAGGCGCGGAGCTCGGCCTCGGGGATGTCGGGCCAGTGCTTGTGGTAAACCTCCCAAGACAACAGCTTGGCCACGGCCTCGGGGTTCTTCATGAAGCAGTCCTTGCCTGCTAGGAACTCCAAGGAGAGGTCCTCGGACCAGTGCAGCCTGGCGCAGAAGACGCACGCACAGCGGGTCCGGGGCGCCCAGCGCTCATCTGCAGACAACCCCTCGGGAGTCTGAGCGAGCTCACGCATGCGCTCAGTCGGCTTCTCCCAGTCCACGGCGGCCCTGGCGTAGAACTCCGCATAATTGGCCACGATCGCGCGCCACTCCTCTCCCTTGACAACATAGGGCTTCAGCGACAGCGACGAGAAGAGAGCGTTGCGGTAGCGCTGGACGCCACCGTGCTCGTCGTCCACGTGCTTCTTCCAATCTTCGCGGAACGCGAAGTCTCGGCCCTGGCAGAGCCGGCACGGCTGGGGGCCCGACGGCTCGGCCCTCTGCGACCAGGTGCGGCATTTCACATCTGCGCTGGTGCGTCGCAGATCCCAGTTATCCACGTACCGCTTGAAAGGGTTGTCCGCGCTGTTCTCGGGGTCTGCCCGGGTGTGGTCTCTGTTGTCGGCGGCAGCTGAAGCGTTCCAGACGGCCCTGGCAGCTGGGTGCACTCCAGCAATGCCCCTTGGCTGACCGCTGCGGTTCCTACCAGTCTGGTCCTTTCCAGTCTCGTCTCTACCAGACTGGTCTCTGCCACCCCAGTCCCTGCCTGTCCGGCCTTGACCAGCCGCTGAGCCTGCAGCCTGTGGCAAGCCGCGGCTGCCGCTGCCCGATCCGGATGCTAAGCCAGCAGCGGCCCCTCCCGACGCCGCAGGCATCACTCGCGACAGCCTGGCAGCAGCCTCCAGAGAGTCGTCAGGCCCACGAGGGTCGCGCCGCTTCCCGCCCATCGGAATCGACCGTCTGGGCCTCGCGCGGGCCAGGAAGACCAAGTACGGATACGCGTCAGGCGGCTCAGGCAGCTCCGTCACGACGGCATCGTCGAGCTCGAACCAGCGCCCGCCCTTGTTGACGTAGGCGACGTAGTGGCCGCCGCGCATCCGCTGCAGAGGTGGTACGCCGCGCGCGGCGCGGTGCTGCGCGAAGGCCGCCACCTCGTAAGAAACGGCGTCTCCGTTGAGAATGCTGACGGGGAAGACAGTGTCCCGCCAGTCCGCCCGCGCGTCCACCGCGAACTGTCTGCCATCCTGTTCGTACATGCTCTCCACGCGGAGGACCACTGCCTCCGAAGCCTCACGGACGGCCTGCTCGCCCGTGAGGGACGCCTGGATCATGGCGGCCATGGGCACAGGCGGCGCATCGCGACCCACCTGGGCCTCCTCGGCCGCGCAGCAGTGCACCATGCCCTCGACGCTCGCGGCTGCGCCGTCCCCGCAGACGCGGCGCCGCACTCCTCCGAGGTCCGCGTGCTCGAGGACGCGCATCAGGCACTCCGCCGCGTCCTGTTGGCGACCGGACTCAAAGCCTGGCGGCTGCTGCAAGATCTGGCGGACAAGGGCCACCAACGGCGGGCGAATGTCGCCGGCCGTGGAAGCAGGGGAGCTGCGCGCACAGAACAAGTCCCGCAGGCGGTCCCCCATGTTGCTGGCGCCCGGCTGCATGCCCTCGATGTCTGCGCGGAAGGGGTGCGTGTGGTACAAGCACTGCACCACGGCATTGATGTAGCACGTGTTTGTCAGGTTGGGGAAGCCAGCGGCGCCCGCGCGGCCGTCTCGGGGCGCTGACGCGGCTGCTCCCAGCACGGCCGCTCTGGCGAACCGCATGCCAGGCTGAGCGAGCAGGCCGCGCATCTGCTGCTGCCGGTCGTCGTCGCGCAGCAGGGCGCGGAGGTGTTGCTCGCGAGTGCCTGGGTGATGCCACTCGGGGTACAGCCGCGCCTGCAGCCCGGCCAGGGCTCGCGCCGCGTCGGCCCGAGATTCCACCTGCGGTCCTTCCACGTCAACTCCTGCCGGCTTGAAAGTCCACCGCCAGGCGCTGCTGCTCGAGGGGATCACTGCGGCGGGGCACTCCACCTTCTCCACTGCGCCGAAGAGCTCTGGGCCAATAATGTGAGGCTGGTGCGCCAACAGAGCGTACTCGGCCGCCTGGAGCTCGCCGTGCTGGTGCAAATTCCACACGTAGTTCAGCTGTCGATACTTTGGCTTGTTCTCGCGCCATTGTGGGAGGTACTCTCCGTTGCCTAGGCGCAGAGCCTCATCGCGGACGTGCACGTACAGATCTTTCACAGCTTTCCGCGGCACTGCCGCCAGGAGGCGCTCCTCTTCCCGCGGGCGCAAGCGCGGCCGCTCGACGGGCCGCGAGGCACCTCTCGCGGGATTCCCTGGGTGAGCAAGCCTCACGGAATCGTCGACCAACGGGGACTCCCACGGGCTCTTGCGGCACGACCTTGCCAAGGCCTCCGCGGTGGCAGGCGTCAGGCCGCCGGTGGTCTGCGCGGGCGTCGCACCGAGCCCGTCGGCGAACAGGCGAGGCCTCTTCGCCGGGGTCTCTTCGATGCCGATGGGCGGCGTTGAAGCGGGAGACGCCTTGGCCGCTGCTGCAGCCGCCGGGCCGTGTCCAGCCGAGCAAGCCGCCGGGACAACCCCTCGAGCTGCCGGCGTCGACTGGCCAGGCCGTGACTCGCCCTGCAACGGCGCCGCGCAGGCAGCAGCCTCGCCACCCCTCTCGGTCAGGCGCCTCTGCTTTGCCGGCGGGGCGTCGTCGGGGCACGCCGACGCTGCCGGGCCGAGGGGGTCATTGACCAGGGCGTCCAGCTCCGACAGGGCAGCGGCAACTGTCGGATGATCAGATGCGACGCCCGCGTGCTTCACGTACCACTTGTAAATCCGCTGTTCCTCGAGCCCCGCCCTCTGCTGAAGCTTCGCCTTCAAGCCAATGCCGCCCCGTGCTCTCAGGGCCGTCAAATTGGCAGTCGCCCACCGACGATGCTCTGCGACGTCTGCGAGCAAGGCCGCCTCCGTCTTCTTGGGCGGCATGTTGAAATGTCGGGATATGCGGTTTGCAACGGCGAGTGAAGCACGCAGCGTTGGCAACAGGAAGCAAAGCCAATGCGGACTGAGCCTCAATCGCTACGGTGTCAGCTGGTCTCAGCTGGTCACCTCGGGGTATGGTGGTCTCAGCTGGTCTCTCCCGCTCCATCCTGCTTACCGCTGCTCTCAACTGCACTTTCATGCCTTTTGCCGCTCCGTGGTGGTTTCTGCTGGTCTCTGCTAATGCATCCTGCTCTCTCTTGGTCTCTGCTGCTCTCTGCTGCTGCATGTGAGTCTCTGCTGCTGATGCTATGCTGGTCTCAGTTCTTGTCTGCTGCTCTCCGGTGCTCTGTTGTGCTCTCTGCTGGCCACGGGTGGTCTCAGATTTTGGCTGCTACTGTCAGCTGTGCTGCTCCCTGCCGGCAGTGAGAGGCAGCGGATGGGCACGATATTTTCGACGGCCCGGGCATCGCAGGCAATCCGGGATGGAGATCGACGACGGAGGCGAAAGCGGAAGGGAGAATGCTGGCGCGCAGGCCCTGTCATTTTTGAAATGGTCGGTAGCTCCGCCGCCTGCCCCCGCCCGGACGGGCGCCGCGCGCAGGATGCCGTCAGGACAACCCGTCGGGCCTGCGGGAGAAAGCGCGAGGGCGGCGACAGAAGGGAGAGACAAAGTGCAAAATCAATACCGTCGGGACAACCCCTCAGGCGAGACCAGCGGCGATGGGCGCTGTGTCACGGGCGCCCTCGCGAGACGGCGCAGGGTCAGCCGAGTCAGCGCGAACTCGCGCCAGCGCCAGCGCGCGCCGTTGGGGCAACCCCGCGGGCGCGGCTGGGGCGGCGACAGAAGGGAGAGACAAAGTGTAAAATCAATACTCAATACCGTCGGGACAACCCCTCAGGCGAGACAAGCGGCGATGGGCACTGCGTCGCGGGCGCCCTCGCAAGACGGCGCAGCGTCAGCCGAGTCAGCGCGGGCTCGCGCCAGTGCCAGAGCGCGCCGTTGGGACATCCCCGCAGGCACGGCTGCGGCTCGCGCGCGAGCTCTCACTCCAGTCGGCGACGCGTCGCCAGGGATGATGGCGTTGACGCAGCGTCGGGGGGCGAGAAGGCGAGGTCCCGCATGCGCTTGAGCGGCGTGGCGTCGGGCGCGTGCGCGATGAGCGCCGGGCCGCCGGACCCCTGCGCGCTGGCCATGAGCTTGACCATGCTGGGCAAGAGCTCGGGGACCACGGCCTTGTGCGACAGCGCATCGAACGTCCCGCGGCCGGAGCCCTTATCTGTCCGCAGCATGGCAGTCACGAGGTGCGCGTCGCCGTGCCCGGCCGTCAGGAGCCACTGCACGTCGCCGGCGACGCCGGCCGTCTTAACGCAATACGTGTCTTCCTTTTTAGACTGGAACCCGCAGCGCGCGAGGCGCTGCACGCGCAGGCCGCGATTCTCTGCGTCGGGTGTGGCCACCGTCTCCGCTTCCGTGGGCCTCTGCATCACCAGCAACACGCGGACCGCCTGGACCTCCAGGTCACGGACGAGCAGCAAGCCGAGCGAGTCGTCCGAGCTGACGTCCGAGCACGCCGCGAACGGGCAGGCGCCGCCCGTCTTCACCGCTGGCGGCGCCGTCACCTCCGACCACGTCGACACGACGCCGTCGGGCGTCAGCGTCGGGACAATCCGCTTCACCTCGAGGTAGTTGACATTGGTGACATCGTTTGTCTTGAACACGCACCGCAGCGTCCACGGCGTCGCCCGAAATGCCGCAGCGCGCACGCGGCGAGCCTGGGCGTCCAGGGGCGTGCCCGAATCGCCGAGCACGTCGAGGGTGGACGCTGCGTCGTGGTACAGGACGGCGGAACCTCCGCCGGTGTGGTCCGCGATGCCCAGCTTCAGGAGCCACCGCATCTCAGTTCCCGCTTCGGGGTGGCTGCCACACGTGTCCTGGTGGTCGGGAGTCTTCTTCTTGCACTCTGCGCAGCTCTTGATCTGCCAGTCGCTGTCGGCGGAAGCACCTGCCACGCCCGTGACGGCGACGCAGTGGAGCTCGAAGACCCCAGGCAGGTCGCGCGTCTGGAAAGGCACGGGCACCGACATGAGGCCACTCACCGTGCTCGCCATGGCGGGCACCGTGTCGTAGTCCACGGCATGGTGCTGCTTGGTGAGGGACGTGGCCGCGTCGGCACCCTCGGAGATGTCAGTCGCGGCGCGAACAGTCTCCGCTTGAGCTGCAGGACAAGTCGTGACCTCCGTGGCCTCCGTGGCGAAGATCTCCCAGGACCCGTTGCGCTGCTTCACATTCACTTGCATCAGCGCGATCACGGAGCCGACGGGGAAGGCGGCCAGAGTCGCGGCATGGTCTCGCCAGAATGCGCAGCGGATGTCGTGGCGCCCCTGCTTGATCACCGCGTTGCAGACGCCTGCTCGGCCGTGCTGGGTGTCGCGCCCCACGACGCCCGGCTGGTGAGACACGACGCCGACCGCGCACACCTGCGTTGTATCGGTCACTCTGCCCAAGCTGGCAATCTCCGCGAACGGGTGATGCAGGGGAACGTCCACCCACGGGCTTTCGGTGCACTCCTGGATGACCGTGTTGACTCCCAAGGGCGGCTTTACCCGCAAGAAGTACGACAGCCGAGAAGTGGAGTACTTCGGGGTCTGGTTCACGACGGCCCCGCCGGACACGCGGTAGACCCTGCCCAGCTCCATGGCGGCATGAACTTGGGCGGCGGCGTCTGCCCATCCGTCAAGGAACAGGACGTCGCCCACAGTGTCACCGCCGAGCATGTGCACTTCGATCTTCCTCCCCGGCTCTCTGTCCTTTCCAGCGCGTTTGCCCTTGGCCTTGCCCTTGCCCTTCCCATCCGCTTGGTTGCCCACTTCCACCGGGCCTCGCTTGATGACGACGCGCCCGAAGACGCACGTGGCGGGATCGCCGGAGAACTCTCGCGGAGACAGAGCGAGCTTGCTGTCCGCCATGGTCAGCGGCAACGCCGGACTGAGATGGAACGGGGGCGCTGGCCACAAGATGCTTGAGCCAAATGCGCTGCGGAAGCTCTGGCACGGGGTCGAGGCTGACAGGGGCCCCCAGCTCTCACTTTCCTGTCCCATCCTTCTCGATCAGTCGAATAATATCGAGACGTGAGGCGCGCGGCTGCGCGTGCGTGCATACTCGAGACGGCACGAATGCACCAGAGCACAACGAAGACGGCTCCCCCGAAAAGACGTTAGTATCCGAATCAGAAAACCATAATAACATGGTGGTGAGCGGGTCCGGCGGAAACCCTCGTGTCTGATGTCACTCGGCGGAATCGACAACCACGAGGGAGCGGAGACCTCGATTAAACAGGACAGGCAACGGATATGACAGTGGCGGGTGGGAGGGCGCGCAGGAGCCCCATTTGCTTTGCCGACTCAAACACTGGATGCATTGGCGAGACACTCAGACCGTGAATACTGCCGTCGGGACAACCCCTCAGGCGAGAGACGTAGCAAAGGGGTCTATGCCGCCGGAAGCAAGACAGCGCGCTGTGCAGGTGGAGAAAAAAAGCGTCGGGACAACCCCTCGGCCGAGTAGCGACCTGCGAACAAGCGTTTCCAGATCACTCAATCTCCCGCCAGCAATGGCGAATCCCAGAGAGCCCCAGTGGGAAATCGCCGCAGTAATGCCAGACTCCCCAGTCAGTCTCTCCATCGGACCGATGCACCACCTTGTGCAGCATTGGCGCGAAGGCGTACTCCCTGGCGGCGGGCGTCACGGTGAGGTCCGCGAGAGCGCGGGCGCTGAACTCCACCTGTAGCAGCACGTGCTTCACCTTTGAGACAAAAGCGCCACTCCTCTGCTGCACTATGCGAGCGCGCTCCATGGCCTGCGTCGGCGACGTGCGGAAACCAACGCACGGAGTGGACCCCATCAAACGCCGTGGAATCTGCGCCCCGTGCTCAACGGCGGGCTGGTCATCCTTATGCACAGCGACGAACAGAACGAGCACGGTGGTGTCACCCATCTCGAAAGGCATGGCGGGCGAGACGCAGGCGCACCGCGACTGCTTGCTGCTCTGGCAACGAGACCCACACGAATCTTCCCATTTGAGCCCATCACAACGGCGACGGAAACAAACCCATTTGAGCCCATCACAAGCCCATCACACCCCCAGTCTCCGCTGTTCTCTGTTGTTGCCTGTTGTTGTCTGCTGCTCTCTGCTACTCTCTGCTGCGCCCTGCAGGTCTTCGCTGTTGGTTGCTGCATTATGCCGCTCCCTGCTGCTCTGGGCTGTTACCCGGTGCCTGACGTCAAGATACCCCTGGGAGCTCCGGAGGCTCCCAGAAAACACAGAAACGATCGAAACTATCAAACAAGACCTCAACCACAACGGTGTCAGCTGGCCAGCTGCTGGCCTCAACTGGTCTGTCCTGGTCTCTCCCGCTCCCTCCTGCTTCCCGCTGCTCTCTACTGTTCCATGCTGTTGTCTGCTGCTCTCGGTTGATCTCAGCTGCTCTTTCATGCTCTTTGCCGCTCCGCGTTGGTTTTTGCTGGCATTTGCTATTGTATCCGGCTCTCTCCTGGTCTCTGCTGCAGATGCCGCCAGGACAACCCATCGGGCCTGAGGCGCGAAGGAGCGGGGCAGCGAAACAGCGCATGGGTGGCGACGAGAGCGAGAGGATATACAAAAACGCATATGCCGTCGGGACAACCCCTCGGGCAAACGTTTGAAAGGCGAAGTCCACAAGCGGGCGGCAAGGGGGGAGGGGCAGCGAAGGCTCGGCGGCAATGCATTCAGCGAGCGCGCTGCCCGTCGGAACAACTCCTCGGGGCAGCAGCGCGCGAGCGCGCTCAAGACAGCCATCAACGCGCAACCTGCCGGAACAACTCCTCAAGGATGCAGCGGGCTGTCGCCGCGGAGGCAAGCCGTTGGGACAACCCCGCGGGCACCCTCGCACGCGGCTGGCATGCGCCTCACTCGAGCTCGCTCAGGTAGCCGACGCCGTGCCGCTTCTCTCCCAGGTGTGATGTG